ACTTCTGATGCAAACACAGTTATTTTGTTCTATAGGCCTGAAATATGACAGAAATTGTTCAGTTCAGAAAAGAGCTTCAAGGATCGTTCCTGGTAGGCTCGCAAGGGGTAAAAGTTCAGGTGATATTGGTATTATCCAGAGGGGGGAAGGAAAAAAAAGTAAAGTTTTACCAAATTAAATTGGATGGACCCCTCCCCATGTTTATAAAAAGCTTGTATTGCAGATTGTTTAAACAAACAACAAAAACAAAACAATTAACCATTGAATCATCACCCAAACTCATACAGACATAATTAAACTTTACATATGAACTAAATATGCATAAACATCGTCATTTTAGCTGCTCAATCTCCCCTTTATGATGTCCTTATATAGTCCCTTCCTGAGCTCCAACATCTCCTCCAGGTTCTTAGATTGTAAACACTCCTGCATCGACATTAGCTTTGTGTCTTTGGGTAGGGGGCTTGTAGAAGCACTCTGGATGGCCTGCAGCATGTTGAGAGATGTTAAGAAAGAGCTTTGCTGGTCAGAGCAAACTGGAAACAAACACGCGTTCCACAAATTACAGTTGGATGCATCACCAGAGAACCTCAGGACTTCCTTCTCCATCCCCCACATGGACAGACACTTTTCCAGGGTGAACCCAAAAAACTTTAGCTCTTCCATATATGCAGGAGTGCCCACAGTGTACTTGAGATTGTCATTAATCCCAAAGAAGACAGTAACAAAGCTGGTTTGGTCGTGGTGGTTCACACAAAGGGTGTGCATGAAGGCTTCATCGGGCACTGACAGGCCTGGACTGACCCAGCAGCTGCTGATGATGGAGCCTTTACCCACAGACACTCCTGCTCCCAGTCTGGAGTACTCCACCACTGATCCAGCACCCACAGAGCAACTCGCATTGAGGACACTGTACATAATGCAGCAGCCAGAGGAGCCCTCAGGGTTTTCATTCACGGGCACACTGAAGGCAGACGACAGGAGACCCAGCTCGTCCCTCAGAGCTGTGTGCTCAGTGAGGTGAAAGAGGTATTCTGAGGTGGTTCCAATGTGATAAAACTTGGAGTTGTTGAGAAGAATGACATTCAGAGGAGTCCCTTTCAGAAGGTGGAAGATCTTCTGGCGGATTTCCACCAGACTGCTCTCCTCTTTGGTGACATTAGCAGTGTTGTTGGTGTATTCTATTGTGGCCTTAGAGCCCAGTGCTTGAAGAAAGTCCCCGTATGCATCTATCTCACAGCTCAATGGCCCCAACTCTGTCAGCACATTAAGAAGAGACTTTGCAGTATCAAAGTCCACATAATAGGTACTGTCTGTGTAGATAAACTCAGAATCAGTAAACAATCCACTCTGCTGCTTACACACAGCTCCACTTCCTCGCATCTTATCAATGCTTGGCTTGTGCAGGAAGTGCAGGCAGGAAGCATTCTCCATTTCTGAGTACGAAGATTTTTCTTGTGGATCCAACACAAAAACGCCATGGGTGGTTCCTACTGAGAGCAGGGAGGGGTGGGCTAAAGCTGTAAAGCCAGGTTTATCAAACTTAACACTCTCCTCCTCTGCTATACTGTAGAGCTCTATGTCATCTGCACAGGTCACTAAAACACCAGGCTTCATTTGTGATGGGAAATCCACATACATGGCTAGTTTGAGCTCCAGCATCTGAAAGATGGGGTCACCCAAAGGCACAGCCATGAAGATCTTTCCCAGAGCGCTGGCACTGGGCAAACGCTGACTGAACCCCCCTGGAAGAAGGAGGCGATTTAAAGGTGAGATTGAGAATTAATTAAATAAAGTATGTTGCATTTTATAAAATACGTGAGCATTACTGTAATTTACAGTGGAACAATCAGACCAAACACTTTCATTTGAAGGCCCTAACTTCAAACTCATATAATCATAAATATGGGTGGAAATGCATAACAGATATTTTATTAGGTGACTTGGTAATATTGCCATTCTGTGTTTTGGATTTTGTGTAGAAGTGAAATATGCTGACAGTTACTGCAGCTCATACTGGAGTAAACAAGTAGAACCATACTGAAAATGTAAAGTGAGAAGCCAAAAGAAGCCAAAGAAGAAGAAGGAGGAGGAGGAGGAGATCATTTTTCACATTTAAGAATGAAAAATAAGGAATACCTGCATGAATCAGGATTACTCTCAGTCTGCCCAGAGACTTTCCATAAATGTCATTTAGTTGCTGCAGTGCGTACAGAGTGGAGCCCCCATTCCCTTGAAAAGACAAGGAGTAATAATAACAACAATAATAATAATAACTAAAGCTGCAAGCAGTAATAAGAGGGCCCTTGTACCCTAGCGCACGTCCAAGCATCCTGAGCCATGCTGCGTTCAAGCTGAGTTAAAGCTCTGGTCTGCCGTGACTGAGCAGTGTCACATGGTCATGTGGATGCTAACTAGGTGTTGTGTCATTTAGCTTCTGAACGCTTATGCCCACTAGGTCGTGATGTAGATCAGCGGTCCCCAATCCCTGGTCCATGGACTGGTACCGGTCCGTGAGTCGTTTGGCACCGGGCCGCGAGAGTTGAGGCTCGGGTGCGAAATTTATGGTTTTCAGGGTTTTTATCATTATTTTGTGTGTTATGAATAAATCTTTTTTTTGCACTGGTTTTATTTTGTTGCATTTATCAGCACCTTAAAGGCTGGTCCGTGAAAATATTGTAGGACATAAACTGGTCCGTGGCACAAAAATGGTTGGGGACCGCTGATGTAGAATACCCACTAACTATATGTCACGCTAACATCATGCGCTGAGCAACCAATTAAAATTTCTGGTACATGGGATGATGATTGTCACCTACTGCTGATTTCCAGGTGCCACTGGGAGGCCCCATAAGTGTGACCCAGTATTGGCACATATTTGTCTCCAGACTGCCCTGCACCGAGTTAACAATCCAAGATGGCGGCAGTGAACGTAAACAGTTGTAAAACTGTAAAATGTTTAATCTGTACAGTCACTGATGTGTATATGTGACATGCTATTTATAAGGCTCTATCCATGCAGTAAAAAAGGTGATGCATTTCGTTAACTACTACTACTGATACTGATGATGATGATGATGATGATGATGATGATGATGATGATAAGGTAGTACTAGCTCACCTATTTTCGGTCCAGGAGGATCTGAGAAGACTTTGTAGTGAACTCCAACAGGAAGCTCTTTTCTGTCAACTTTCTCGCTGATTTGCAGCTCATACGCTTTTCTCTGGCTCCCGTCCACAGCAGTCACAACCACTACATCCCAAAACTCACCAGGCTGCACCTCTCGACCTTCAGGTAAACAGGAAAAAAACATTCATAGCTACTTTGACTAAACTTCAAGGCACATTGAGTCAGATCATTGACATTTAATCTCACCACGCAGAGAGTTAAACTTTCTGAGTTTTTTTCTTGTAGCAGTTTGAAGCCTCCTTGTACAGTCGTGGCTCATACTTTCGTTTCTGATACAAATTAAATATAGAAACTAGAATGAAGTATTTCTCATATATATTCCACCACGGAATGACAGTCTCTTACTTCCGGGTTTGGTCACATGGCTCGTTGCGCTATCCAATGGGAGGAGGAAGTCGGAGCCCTCGAGTAAGTACAGTAAATCCATTCAACGAGCGTGTGTTTTAGTTCATTGTTGTCATCATTACGCCTGTCTTTACTAGATGCTGTGAATATGTCGTACTCGAGTGCCGCGTATGTGTATAGGCACTGCTAATGCTAGCGTGAACAGATACGTCTTGTTAGCTTGGAAGTTGTAGTGGTTTATGCTAATTCTCGCCCCAACTGTTTACACTTGGTTATAAGAGCTGGAGCGGGAGAGTTACTTACTTTCTTTTTACCTTTCACTGTCAGACTCAACGCAGGAACACACCGGTTACATTAAGTTGTTTTCAGTTGTTTCTACTCACTCAAAATCACAACAGTACCAGGATCGATACTAAGCACCTATTTCTGGCCTGAGTGATAGCCTGCTGCCCTGAACACTGACCCTACAAGCTGCATTCCTGCTGAGTTGCTTTAACATTAAACAAATGGAGTCCTGTATCTCCAAGATAACATAAGTGTAAATTTAGACTGGTTGGCAAAAAAGGCCTTGGCATTAGGCTAAAGGAAAACTAAAGGACCGATTATCATGGTCTCTTAAAAGATAAACAAAGATTACTGCTACATATTACTCTACAAAATTATAGATTAATTAATAGCAAAAATAATTATAATAAAAAGGAACATATACTATGGATATATCTGTATGTATAATCGTAACAGCAACTCCTCAGTGATCTGAGGAGATGCTTTGGTTGAATACTGTGCACTCAGGAAACTTCACATCCTTCATCCAGAAACGCTGACATGAGATCCAACATGTTGTTACGCCAGTCTGTAGGAGAAGAGATTCATCCAGAGGATCCATGCTTGCTCCAAGTGATGTGTGAGGAGCTGATGGAGGCATAAAGGCTCCGGATACAGGTTAGAGCTATGCTGCATTTCTACTGTTACACAGCAACAATGCTGGTATCTCCCCAATCTGAAACAAGGACATCAAAGGTCAAGTTTCAGTGCCCTGCAGAGCAGATAGTTTTGAGCTGTAATAAGATAATAATCCAGGAATCTTTGCATCATTTGTTTTACTGAAATTCAGTCTAGTTTGAGTCTGTTACAGTTCAAATTTGCTGAAATTCTACAGTTCAGACTACACCCTTTTATATGCAGATTGTCTTTTTTTTTAATCCTTGTGTTCAACCCTTTATTTAGCATGAGCATAACTGAATGATTGTGCCTCAAGCAAAATACCTGGAAAACAGCATAACCGACTCCTGCCAGATCAGATTGTTCACAGACACCTTTCTATTCTACTTTGCTGGCCTTGTGCAGCTGTTACAACACTAGAAGCTTACAGTGGAATACTGTGAGTTATTGTTTCCTCTGATTTTCTTTCTGTTCATTTAAGAATGGTCAAGAATCCAGTGGGAAGTGAGCAACAATAAAATAGTTCAAATAAGCACAATTTTAAGTTTATTGTTTCAGTTCAATCATGATTTAAGATTTTTGACCATCAAGCGTCCACATATGATACAATCAGTTCAATTACATTTGTGCAAAACTATACATTGTGGACTAGAAAAAATATACAGCATCATTACACATGAAATGTACATATTAGCTGCATCAATCGAAGGTTTAATCAACAGTTCAGACTTTATTTGAGGTGATACAAAATACACAAAGAAAACTGAACATTTCAATTTTTCTTTTTTTCGTAACAACTGGCAGTGCCAATAAAAACATGGCTGTCTAAAGATAAACAATGAGATTCTGTTAAATATTTAAAACTACGTACCAAAAACAGATCCATTAATCTATAAATTAATATTGCACAGAAGGTTTAGGCTCTAAGAGGATTCAAATCCAACATTGAAAATATAGTGTACCGTTACTGCACCATTATTACTGGTGCAACCAAGTAGAAGCGTCTACAAATCCAATGCCTTTTATAATCCCAGCGTTTCAAAGTTAACGTTGGACTTTACTGGCTTTTGTGAGCACCTTTACAAGAAATGGGACGAACAAAGAGGGCTGATCCTGTTCTTTCCTCCTGATTCTTCTTCTTGTCTCAGTAGACTGTGGTAATACTGGTGTCACAGCACAGAGGGCGGCAGAGCAGCCAAGCTATCCTTGTTGGCCAGCAGGAATTGGCTGCAGGCCGAAAAGGCGCTGTAAAAGCTTGAGGAGAGGCCTGCAATGTCTGTGGAAATGTAGGGGAGGACACCTGGTGTGGCCTGGTTGTAGTAGGTGATCTGAAACACAGCAATCACAGCGTGTGACTGATAATTAACCCTTTCCATTTTTTGCTTTAGTTTTGGAGCGGTGACTTGTTTAAAGCTACAGCATAAAAATGCAGCCCAGCAACTACAGGTTGTGTTTGTGCCCCTCTCATTTGGCTAACCTTGGTAACAGAACTGGACTCTTCCCAGATTGTGAAGCCAGCACAGAGCACCTCTCCCCTCGTGTACTCTTCCGTGGGCGGGTGAGTGGGCAAAGTGACTGAACGTAGAGCGATCAGATACGGATCTCTGAGATGGACAAAGGCAGAGAGCGTCATGAGAACTTATGAAAATGCAAACATGAAGCAGGGAGTGGGATTTCCTCACCTGGATGATTGAGCATCAAGACATTTTAACCCACACAGAGTTTTGTGCGAAATTATCACGTGACGCAAGCAAGGTCATATCAACACACCTGAAATCACAGGGCTTCCGTCTAGATGCCAGCAAGATGAAGTCCTTCCCCTTTCCCCCTTTAGTGACAGAGGGTGTAGCTACGCGATAGATGGTGTCCTCCTCATCTGCCTGGTTGATCACCTCACACTCTCTGCAGTTGAAACCCAGTGATGTGGATGTTTAGAGCTTTTAGATTATTGAGCATTATGTCACATTAAACAATCCGGTTATGTCACTGAGTTTATTTTGAATATCCAGTGAATATAAGTGGGTTCGTTTTCATTCTACTGCAATAAAGAGCTGCATGTGTTTTTGCCCCATAATGGAACGACATTGAGAGATTACATGTAAACGTAACAGTCTGTCAGCCACGTTGTTTACTGTATTTGTTTAAAAGATGCATTAGCAATGCATTAAACAGTCTGTCCAATAAACTACGATTATCTTCCATACAGCCACACTGCCTATGTGCTGGAAATATATGGGAATAATACTGTATCTAACATTACCCTCCTGGTCAGGGGGATTTCCAAGATTTATTTAAATAGCGTGGCAGAGGTGGCAACCGAGTACCTGTCAGCGGAGGATGTGAAATCAGAAAATTCTGTCAGAAATAAATATCAAACCAAACCTGCTGGAAACTAGTTAAATTTGGTGATTTATAATAATTTCCACTTTGCACAGACCTCCTGTCTCCAGAAACACTCATTACAAGATGTGGCTGTCCCAAAAACCATATCAGCCTTGAGTGGTCCAATCACACAAAATGTGTTTTTCTGTCAAGTGGTAGAAGTAAAGAAAAATGTTTCACACATGCTTTGGCTTCAGTTCATTTTTGTGAAATAAATTACTTGGGGAATTGTCAGTGGACTATACCATTATGAGTTATGGGGGGGGGGTCGTTTCTCAGAACATTTATTGTTCTGAGCACAAGCTTTCAGTACCTCATTGTGGTATCTAACACTCTATAGTTAAACTGACAGTAACTTTTCTCCTCAGTAAAAGGATCTGAACTCAGATGATGCTGCTAAATACCAAATGTGTCTAAGTACTGACTCATAATGCCGGTCCCACTCCATTCTCCTCCTCAGGTCTGACAGTAGATGGAACGTCTGCTCTGCCGAGACTCTGACGTTCATCTCCACCTTGAAACACAGCATTTGGTTTTCCTCCAGTGTGTACAATCTGACCTATGAATTAAAGACATCCACAAAGAGGAGGCAGGTTCAGTGTCTATAAATAGGATTAATTTCTGGTACCTAACTGGTGATTATACATGCTCCTGGAATGACTTATGCTAACATAGTTTTCTTGACCTATTCTGCAATATTAAAGAATCTACATAAAACACTATGACCCATATTTTGAGCACCTCACTATAACTGTGCAAAATGCTGGAAAATCCAATGAGCTATACCCTGAACAGATATGCAAACATTTGTGACCTTATTTTTCTCCGAAGCCAACACCCAGTTGTTCCTGTTGTCCATTAATTTCAGCGCTGAGACATTGTTGTAGCTCAGGTACATCTGAAAATATAAAGCGTTACTTTGTATACAGTAGCATTATCCAGCTCTGAGTGTCTCTGTTAACAAAACAAAAATTAAATTAGATAAAAATTTAAAAAACCAAACAAACACCTGGTTACTTGGATCCCAGGGAACAGACAAGGGCACTTCAGTTTGCTTGCAGGAGATGATATATTTCCTGTAAACATGAAGTACAGCAATGATGTTCTGTAGCTCAGGGCACTACAGAAAGACCAAAAACACAAGCACTTTTACTCAAGCAGTGACCCAACACATCATGTTATCAAACAGAGGAATAAAGATTGCACTGTTTAGAGTTGAACAATGAACTCATTATGCCTGCTCGAGTCTGCGGTAAAGTCTGCTCAGCCGTGATGCATTGGTCTGCCAAGTCATTAGCGCCTGCAAACTCTTGTAAACAATGGATTCGGTCATATGACCAAAAAGTAAATCCAGTGATGAGACCGTTTCAGTTCCACTGCTTTATAATGCATCATGATTAACAACATGTTTGCATACAAACACGATTTAAAAGGTTCAAAATGTAATTTAACTAATTTACTAAGGGAATAGATTCATTGTGACTCTTTTAGAAATATTGGTTATTTATTTATTGCAAAGCATTAAATAGCCTAACCTGTACGCTGTCAACAAAACAATCTGCAATAAACAACAATCGTTACTCTGACACATAAACAGAAAACAACCCTAATTGTTTTAAAAGGGAGCTGTTCTACTCTACTGTAGAAGGGTAACTTTGCATTGTACAAAAATCATTCGTAGTTATTCTGTGCTGGGCCTTTGTGCAGCCACCTCAGTTGAAAACAAGCCATTTTAGCTCACTTCCTGCTAAGCCAACATGCATCTGATTCGTTGGCCCTCAAAAACTGAAGGTTTCGATCCAATGTGCAGAGCTGTGGACTGGAATGATGATTCTGGAGATATCTACTCTCAGAGACATCAAACGGAGCTCAGAGTAAACCTGCCTTCCTTTGCTGACAAAAACTGAAAATATGTGAGTCTTTAAAGTACTCTAAAGCCTGAGATTTTGGCTCATTGAAATTATCTGCACGTACACCGGCCTCATTTTGGCCTTTTTCAAAATGTGAGGAACCATAACTTTACCAACGTAAATATGACAGAGAATAAGATGACACAAAAATAGCTCCTCCTGATAGAAGATATTTACCTATCAAGGCGAATCTTCTTTCTGGCAATAGCTTCTTGAAAGCGTCTTTTTCCATCCTGTAAAACAAGAGATGATCTAAGACTGAAATTCTTAATATGTATACTGTGTACACTATGTTAAAAAAAGTTTATTTTCAGTTCACCCTTCATCTAAGGGCCTCTAAAAATATAGAAATAAGTCACTCGGATAACTTACCACAGGCTCAGGTCGTATCCGTGGCAGCGTGCATGGTTTCCTGTCACTGTCCAGCACCTCAAAGGTCATAAAGGCACTATTTATGTGGCGCAGAGGTTCTCCACCCTGGTAGGCCTCAGCACAAACTCCCACCTCCATGCTAGTGTGCGCAGGAATGTGGGTTAAAGAAAACATATGCATCCAGCAAACAGCGCTCCAAGTGTTATAATCACAAATTAGAAGGTTAAATATTTAATGAATTGTTTTATTTTCTGAAATATTTGTCATAATGTGTCGCTTCACCTGTGCTTGAAGGCATTGTTAACAATAGCTTTCAGTACCAGTCGGTCGCCGATGTGAGACGGGCCACGAAAATGGAACATGTCTATGGACCTCAGGGTTGGATGAGCGTTACACAGGCGACTGCATCGAAATATAAGGAAAAAGAAAAACAGTGTTTTGATTGGGTTTGTTTGGCCTCATTACAAATAAACAGTTTCTCTTTTGGAAACTCAATCTCCTTTTTTCCAGCAATTAGATGAGAATATCGATACGTGTGGTAGTGCCGCTAGCTTCCACCAAACACACATGACAATAATACACACTCACTGGCCACTTTGTTAGGTACACCTTCATTGTACCAGGTTGGATTGCCTTTTGCCCTGAGAGCTGCCTTCAAACTTTGTAGATTTTGGTCGATATTGACATGATAGCATCTGCACATCCATGATGCAAATCTACCCTTTCACCACATCCCAAAGGTGCTCTGTTGGATTGAAATCTGGTTACTGTGGATCCCACTTGAGTCCAGTGAACTCACTGTAATGCTCAGTGCCACGTTATCCTGCTGAAAGCAGTAAGCAGAAGATGGGCACACAGCATCAACACTCAGGTAGAGTAACCGTGGATTTTCATCCAGGGAACTAAAGCTCACGTGATATCTTGTTGTTTTTGGACCATTCTTACAGTAGGTGTTCTCAATAAAGTGGCCAATGAGCGTAGCTCTTATCCAACTCTTAGTAATCTAACAAATGTTTTTGCTGTTTGAAAAAAATTACATGTATACAAATAGAAAAGCTTTGTGCATACCTTGCTGCAATTGTAGCCACATTTTCCATCCAGGCCATAATCTGGCCCCCAAAAGTGCTGACTTGGTGGTTGGCATGGGGCGGAAGCACCAGCTCTACACTCTCAACACGTGTCCGCTCAGCTGCCACAGCGTCCTGATACTCCTGGCATTCTCCTGATGAGTGCACAAAAACAAGGACGTTTAATGAATCTGTTTTTAAAGTGCCGTGTGCTATAAAGACTTATGTCTGTACCCAGCTGAGCTGTGCTGCTGCTCAGTAGGTCTGTGATAATCTCAGCGTGGATGAGCCTCATCCTCCTCCGCTCTGCTGCCAGGCTGTACTCCATCTGCTCCATTTGTGTGTGAGCAATCACCTGCTTCAGCTGTACCTGTGAGGACATAACAAAAAACTAATTTAAAAAAAAAAAGCCAGAGATGTTAAATCAAATTTATTAAAATGCCCCTCTGCCCATATTTTGATCTGCGCTCTTTACCTTCCCAGCTTCTGTCCTTCTGGCAACAAAGGTTGCAAAGGCGTGGCAAACCTTCCACTGCCTGTCAGTGTAAAGGTCCTCGCAAGTCACTAAAATGCCCACCTGAGATGAAACAAATCACTAACGTCATTATATTCCTTCCCTAAAAAAATAAAAAGTTTAAATATCCCAAAAGCACAGAGTGCCACCCGCTAACCTCCATACTGGACGTAAAGGCTCTGTTGACCTTTGCGATGATATTAACAACCTTTCCTACCCTGGAGGAGACAGACACAGACGCCATTCTTTACTATCAACAAGGAGAAGTATTTGTACTGCACATACTCTGAAACCTTTATGCTATGAGACATAATTTTCAGTCAACAGCAAGGCATGTTTGGCCATGACACTTGCTATCTGCAATTGGAAAGAAATGTTTACTATATTTTCATGAGTCACCTCTTATTTTTTTAACGATTAAAAAAATTAAATTAAGATTTATGGAGAATATCATAACTAATGATTTGTAACCATAAAACTGTCTTTCTTGTTTAGTAGCATTTGTCCTTCAAACTTTACTAAAAGTTGAGTTCAAGTTGACACTTTATCCCAAAATGACCCTTTTTTCTCTCCTCTCCTGGCACTGCATGCAACGTGTTGTCTCTGCAGTCATTACTCAGTTTGAATTAAACCTTGGCAGTCAGTACTAAGATTAATACCTTACCCTATGGTGTGTTCAAAATGAATGTCATCCACCGATGCAGTGATACAGGAGCAACCTGCATGTCTCTCAGCTGGAAGATCAGAGATTACACAAAAAACTTAAGCAGTGCAGCAGAAAGCATATGTGCAAAATACTAAATTTTATAAGGAGAGTGGCTTATTGAGTGGCTCCACAGTGTAGTGGTTTACACATTTTCCTAACAAATATATCTCTCGGCTGGCCTGGGAACGCCTTGGTATTCCCCCGGACAAGCTGGAGGAGGTGGCTGGGGAGAGGGAGGTCTGGACCTCTTTGCTTAGGCTGCTACCCCCGCGACCCGACCTCGGATAAGCGGATGAAGATGGATGGATGGATGGATAAAAGCTCCCTAGTTCAATCCTGGAAAGAGGTGCAGATCCCTTTGGGGTAGCGTCATACGGCATCCGGCATAAACACTTTGCCAGATCAAACATTTGGCACGACTGGAGATTGTTATTCGGGCTTTTATCTCATCACGTCTGGATTATTGTAATTAATTTGTCAATTTTTTTTAACAAAACTTCCTTGGAACATTTGCAGGCTGTTCAGAAAGCTGCTGCAAAGCGTCAAAGTCTTCTAAGTACTAACATGTCACACCATTTCTAATTTCAGAGTCCACTTTAACAATCTGGTTTTGACTGTAAAAGCTCTGCATGGACAAGCAGAGCTTTTACACCCATACATCACCAGCAGATCCCTGAGGTCACGTGATAAGGGCCTGCAGCACTAAGGGTGACAGAGCGTTTTGCAGCAGTGGCCCTCAGACTTCTATGTAAGAGCAGAATTCATGAGTCCCCGAGTTTCAATTTTTCGTGATACACTGAAACCTGTGAGTATTTTTGCAAATATCCCTGCTCCATAAAGTGAAGGTAATCAGCACTGTGATATGAGCATTCACGTAACATGACTGAAGATTATAGTGGGTATGACAGCGATTACAAAACAAACAGCATCAAACACGTTTAAAAAATTCAATGATCAGACTCCAACTCATGCCCATTACTTCCACCTACAATATTTCAGTTGAAATGATGGTGGATGGTTAATGGTGCTACCATGGTCTGTATTCAAGGTTGCAGTTGCATTCAAATGTTTGAGTTAATGAGCGACTTGCCAGAAGCAGAGTTACAGAAAGCTCATAAGAATTTTAATGCAATCATTTAGCCTTTATTTGCAGCTTTAATCTGCATTTGGAATGAGGCGCATCGGAGAAGAGAATCTCCGATTAAACTGTACATGTGAGAGTTTTCCTGATCCTTTCCTACCAGATAAACAGGCTGTGGAGTCCATCCACTTCAGCAGCTGTCCAACACTCAGCTCCCCACAGTGATTGGCATGACAGGGCAGCACGATCTGACTCATCTGCACTTCAGTGGGGTTTCTGTACACTTCCCCACTCTCCTGGATGAGCAGGGGGTCCGGCATGGTGTCTGAATCTTTATTTTCTGAAGTCATATCTCACAACTCCACATAAAGGAAATACAGAAAAAGAAGTTACAGCAGAACATTTGGTGTCGGACGTAATGGATTTGATTCAAGTCAGAACAAATGCGATATTCTATAAACATTTGTGAAATCAACAAGCCCAGAACCAAACCTGAAAACTGCAGGTTGATTTCGTCCAGCACTGCAGCATAAGACTGTAAGCTTTAAATAATCTGCAGCTAGGTTTGTCCTCTGTGTTGCTCAACATTTTTTCACCCCTTACTCAGGGATCAGGAGCAGAAATGCATATTTATGAAATTAAAACTCTGCGGCATTTTAGGAAGTGTTCTTAAAACTATGCTAATTTACATGTAGTCTAAATGGAGCTTGTTACTCGTCTTTTTTTAAAAGTCGCTATCACGCAAACTATTTCTGGGCATGCCACTACACTAAAGGGGGCATTCATGGAAAGTATTTGGTGGGACAGAAGTGTTTGCCCACAGCTACTGCTCCAGTGGGGTGAACATTTAGTCACCTGTCTCTCTTATAAGTTATCAATGTAACTTATATATTTGTAGAGAAGTAACACAACATTTGAAATGAGCGTCTCACTTAATTTAATATTTCAGCATTTAAATATGTTATCCTGTGACAGCTATCGAGCTAATGACGTTGAAACAAACGACTGAAAATTGCTTACTCACTTGAAAACTTCCTGCTGAAGCTGACGTCGACAGAAAGTCCGTTTAGTGCCAAAGAGTGTCTTGTGCAAAACACAAAGTCAACAGAAAAAGTGCACAAAGCGACCCCAAAGCGGTGGCTCTTCTCATTTCACCCATTCCTGAATAACACGGCAACTGAATAAACACACACAACACAGGTTTAGTGAAAGGTTTCGCCACTGGAGGGAGAAAGAGGGAGAGAGACCGTCCCCCGTAGTGGGTTTAGTGTTTAAGGTGGAATTAGAGTGAATGTCTTTAAGTTGGGAGATTCAAATCGTTATTCAATAAAAACGTAATACATATCATTTTATAAGAAGCTGAAAAAAATAAAGAAAAAAATCCCGACTACTTGAGAATACTTTTTTAAAAAAAATCGAGCTTTATTCGATTCTATTTTATGGTTGTGTCAATATTTCATTATTATTTTAACTTGACTGAATTCATATAAATATAAAGCTTTAAAGAGTTCTGGTAACCTTTCGTGGGCTGATTAAAAATACGTGTAAACATTTTTAGAAAGGTAAAATATACATTTCCTTTCATTACCAGAATGCTTTATTTACACTGTAAGCGTAACAAAGTCACGAAACGAGGCCTCCACTGTGGATTTGTGCGCTAAATCGCGCACTTTTGTTATCGCAGAACCGACGTTAAAACCAGTAAACGATAAGCACGAAAAGGCAGACCTTAAGGCGATTGTTATGTTTCTATTGGCCTATGGGAGCGTCAGTCAGACGTGGCTCCGCCTCTTTCTCCCCCTCCTCCGGAGCAGGCTCGGTTGAGTCGTCGGGTTGAGGAGGAGTGCGGTTGGAGTGCGAGAGGGTCGCGGCCGCGATGATCTGACAGATGAAATAGCAAAAAAGAGAAAGAGAAGGCGGGCGTCCTCCAAACAAAACAATGTTTCCCAAAGGCAAAGGGACCCCGGTGCCGTCGGACAGCCAAGCACGAGAAAAGTAAGCCGAGAAGCGTTTATTATTGTGTATTTTTTACCTCGTAAGTTGCTCCCTCTTGCTCTCTGTTGTTTGCTGGACAGGCTAGCAAGAGGCGATTTCCTCTTACCGAGAATGCAATTGAATGAACCGCCTTGTCTGCTCGCCATTCCTCCTTTGAGCTGTGTTCTGCTCCATGTAGATTATTGCTGATTTTGTACACATTTCCAGCCGATTCCGGTTGTAGTTTACTTGTGTTTTTATCGGCAGTTGTTTGAGATTTTTGCGGTTATTCGGACGACGGTGCGGAGAGAGTAAAACAATAACATCGCCGTGCTACAGTACATTGTTTTCTCTGTTGCGCTCTCTGGATAGGCTCCGTTTTAATTTCCCTCAGCCCCGTCACTGCCACCAACATACTGTACCTAGCTAATACACAACAGGCTGCTGTTGTTTTCTTTAAATGCTTCGCATCACGACGTTAAATTACGCCGTTGCCTCCACACTTTCTTTTAACCTCCTGATTGTTGAGAGTCTTCACCAGCCTTGGCTTTGCTTACGAGTCCCAATTTAATTTTTTGGCATCTGGTATTTGGCAGCCATTGTTCAGAGGGCCTTACCCGACTCTAATCACTCATTGTTCGCGTACAGGAAGATTCAACCTGATGTTTGGTGATTTTGCTTTGCTACTTGGTCAAGTTTGTTAAATTAGACCTCAATTTGTAATTATTTTTTTCTCCCCTGCAGGTTGGCTCTTTACGTGTATGAGTATTTGTTACACATAGGGGCACAGAAGTCTGCACAGACCTTTTTATCAGAGGTATGTGGCATTTAGGTTAAAAGTTTAACCGTATTAACACGTCCTTTATATTTTTAAACATTTATTTTTATTCTTCCAGGACAGTATTGTTAAAGTGTAACTGACACCCATAGATAATTATTGAAATTGTGCTGTCCTAGATCCGATGGGAGAAAAACATAACACTTGGTGAACCCCCTGGATTCCTACATTCATGGTGGTGGTAAGTGTCATCTCTTTGTAATGTAATAAAATGTCTACTTGTGTGTGAGTTGGGGGTTTTTGGCTTCATGAGCTCTCTTGTCCACAGTGTTTTCTGGGACTTGTATTGTGCTGCACCAGAGAGGAGAGAGACATGTGACCACTCCAGCGAAGCAAAAGCTTTCCATGATTATGTGAGTACTGCTTACAAGGAAACTGTTGCAAATATTGCCTTTTGTTCACCAGGAGAAGACAATAAGTTTGTGCTTGAGGCTGAGAAGTGATGTCTTTATATATAACTTTTTTCATTATGTCATAATGTATTCCCTGTAGCACCTTGTAGCTGTATTTAACCATCTAATGCAATTTTAAACACTTTGTGTCTGCTGCTGATTTATGATCAGCTATCATGATCTGTTGGTGTGTTGAATGCTGTGCCCAACCATGAGCTTTATGGGCTTCTGGGAAAATGATGCTGATGTCAGCATGTCCTGAGTCAGACCTGTCAAGTGCTCTCCCCTTAGCCCAAGCTCCCCGCTGCCTCAGTTGTGAAGACGAAGAACCTCCGGTGTGTTCTGCACAGCATCTGAGAATTTCATGCACACAGCTCTATTTCTGTTAAAGACCTCCAGCTGCCTGAATGTGTGGTAGCGCCAATACATGTTGAAACATATTACCTGCAGTGACATAATCCTAATGGATTTGAAACAGAAGAACTGCTGGAGCAGCCTTACATCCTGAATTTATGAGCTGTCACTCGGTACATGTGTATGGTTTGGTAGCGCATTGCTTCTCTTACGATAGCAGTTCTATATTTGCATGGTATGGGTGCTTTGCATCTTGATAATTATGCAGTTTTGAGGTGCTGTTGTCATTTCATTTCCTGCTTTGAGTCAGCATTCAAAAAAAGAACCTTAAAAAGAACCTTGCATAGATCAAAAGAAACTGTGAACTGAATGTCTATGGCCTCTGCCGTTCGCCTCCCAACGTCTCTTTCTGCCTCCAAAGATTAAAATGGTGCTGCTGATGTAAATAAAATAGAAAGACTTTTCAGGTTGTGCTGTATCAGCATAGGAAAGACATTAGAGGTTAAGGAGCCCTCTTAGGATGATTGATGCACAGTCCAGTTTGTAGGCGGGTTAGTGGTGTACCAGACAGGAAGGGGTTAAAACTGAGATGTTGGTCCTGCTCTTGGCAGATAGGGTTGTCAGGGTAACAGGCCTCCTGATCTGGCAGGTGACCTGGGAGCCAAGAGAGAGGCTACAGCGTGGCTCTGCCCTTTCAGTAACCACATTCCTTATTATTGCAGCTCATACAAAGGAAAGACTGCGTTTTTGTTTGACAGTCAGCCTTAATTCAACTAGCCTACTTAATGGTAATTGATTGCTTCTGGTTGCTTGCTTGTGTAGAATATGCTTGTCCTTTTCTGTGAATATGTCAAAGATCGGAGAGTCTGTTTTGGGAAAATTGTAATTCCATACATGAATTAGAGAATTAATCTCTGGGAAAATGGGAACATCATTTTTAAAGGAAGTAAAAACACTAAATAGGATGTTAAGTTGTGTCTTTTGGTTTGACTGAAGCCATTTCCTTTGAATGGAAAACATTAAACAAATGAAGGAACAGTGAAATGTCAGTCTGGGGAGTGTGCTGCTGTGGCGTGGAGCTTTGAGAGTTTCTGCACAGTTGGTTCTCCCTGACATCTTGTGGTTACCCTTCAGTTTGATGTTGGTTCTCTTTGTGTTTATTGAGGAGGTCAATGAAGTGTGTGTGTGGACAGTACTAGTCCTTGGACCCAAGCCTTTGTCTAGGTGTGGGGGAGGTGAGTGCTGTTCTGTTAGCCGGCAGCCCTCGTAAAGCTCCGGCGTATTCATGCTGGGCCTGACGAACGCTCCCCAGGGGCCCTGTCGCCATGGCGTCAGCGGCTGATTGATGGCTGTCATGGAGCTGAGGGGCATATTGGAAAAAGAAAAAGGGGAGTGGCAGTGTGGCATATGCCCAGCATCCACCACCGCAGAGGAGCTGAGGGAATAAAAGAGGAGGGGGCTGGGGAGGAAGACTGGAGGGAGATGTAAAGTGAAGGGGACCTGCGAGGGAAAGAGAGCATCCAGTCAGGATCCAGAGTGGGTTTTATGATGTTGATTGATGGTTAAACATTTACAAGCTAAACATAGGGACTGGTTTCTTTTGAGAATCGGTTCCAGTGGAAGAAGTGAGGCTGTTAGGAGCATGCTAGCTCATGAGCCGGCAGTTGGGTGGTCTATGCTGCGGCTCAAACGCCTACATCATTTCTCTCTTATCCACTTTAAAAAGCTTCATTTCTTTTCTTTCTTTTTTTGATTTATTATATTTTAAAAATTACCCCAGTCAAGCTCTTGGTTATCCTCACCCTCCTCTTTACTTGTTTCTCTTCCCTTGTCCCCACCCCCCTCCCTCGTCTTTGTTTTTGTAAAGGGAGCACAAGCACATCCGCCGCCACTCTGGCCTTTTGTAACCTCCTTCAGTGATTCAAGCATTCAAAGAGAATTTGCTTGGCTGGAATTACTTGTTTGCCTTAAAGTACACACATTCACACGTGCTGAATCATGATGGGTGGGGGGTGGTCGTCTGTCTGTCTTAAAGGAAAAATCCCCTGGGAAGTTGTAAGAAAGGGCCCAGACAAGAGCCTCGTAGCCCGGGGCAGGACTGAGACATCTGCCCTTTTCCGGTACCAGAGAGTCGTTGGGGAGACGTAGCTTATTTAGACCAAACGCAGCACTGGACTCCTTGGAACAGTCCAACAAGCACAGCTGTGGCTTTAGAGCTACATGATAAAGATCTAATATAACATGCCTGGGAACTCACCATGCACGTAGCTTTTCAGTCTGGCAAACAGTGTCTGTTCTTCTACAGGGATGTAGATTGTTGACGTCTTTTTATGACTTTGCGGTCAATACCTTAAATACAGCTTTGTTTTACTTCATTATTTCTTTGCAGGCCTCATTCCAGGAATGGGCTACTTAAGGGTAGAGGATCAAAACAAACGCCAGTTTCGCTTTGGAGGGGCCAGACAGGGATTGTATGAACACAAACCACTTAAAAAGCCATAAATGTAGCTTAGCCCTTTTCTGTGATAAACACAGTGACAGCTGCTTTCAGTTTTTTAATGTAACAAAAAAAATACAATCCCCTCTTACACACACACACACACACACACACACACACACACACACACACGGTAGGACAAAGAAACTCAAGGAAAAGAAATTAATGGTTATATTTTAATTGTTAGGTTAACTGTGGGGCTGTTTTGGCTGATGTGCTAAATGGCTAGAAATCATAAAGCAAAGCTAAATCCTTATATCGTTGTTTTCTTTAACAAATGTAAAATTACAGCTTGTAATATCAAGAGCTGTTTATGCTATTTGAACTTAGAACCAATGAACAACTTTACCGGAGCACACATACACATTTTAGATGTAAGTAAATTAATAAAAAACGATGAGTCTTTATGACATTACTTTGCATTTCAGGAAGTTACAATGAAAACAAAGTTAAAACTACGAATAACAGTTTTACCTACAGTTCCGTCAGTAGGGTGCAAATAAAACCAAACAAACAAAACTAAAAGTCAGCTCAGACAATTTTTTTCCTCCTTTGGATAACCTATTAGTGTCGAGTCCATACATTAGATTTGGATTCAATATATGTGATGGTTGCTGAGGCCCCTCACTTCCTGTTTTGTGCCTTTGCTGGTGATTGTTCTCAGTTGTTACAGTTTTGAAAATCAGTAATGCGTCTGATCAATTTTGTGAGGCTTTGTCTGAAGATTAACGTCTGCTACTTTTGGTGAAGGGTAGAATTTTTTGTGTCCTGTTGAAGTCCTCCAAGCAGTATTACAGCATCAATGATTATTAGTATTGTGACCACAGTTACAAAATTCAGTTTAAAAAAAAAAAAAAAGTTCACTTTCCCACGTGGACATAATTGCACATCAACATATCAAAGCACCATTTAGATTTGGCCTCGCTTCTGTTTTGCAGTGTCACCTCCGAGGTTTGCTCGCTAACACAGGCAATGCTTTAGAAAACTGAGAAAACTTGCACTAAATTTTGTGAGACACTTTTTTGACAATTACAAAACAAATTAAATAAAAATAAATTAAATTAAATCTAATGTGATAGAAAAGCCAGGATGTCATAAAGGATTCTTATGTGTATATGAAAATTGGCCCAAAAATAACTCGAGAAGGCAGAAAGGCTTTGGGTATCTGCTCAGCTTCACTGCAATAATTTATCGTTACATTAGATTATTGTTGGGCTGCACACCTGCTCTAATCGAGTGGTTGCTCAAGAGAGAAACCAGAAAGACACTCAGGAGTTAACCTTGATCATTGAGCATACGGGGATAATATAAAATAATGAACAGGTAAACTAGTGATACGTCATCACATTTGCCTGTTTTTTGTTTTTAAATGTCCTTTTTTCATTTTAGAGTATTTTTTTTAAGCCTGTTTTGGGGGAGAACCAGGGAAAGCTTTTGTCTTAACAAAGCCTTAGCCAGATATCAACTCAAGCCTTAATCAAATATATGCTAAACAACAATCGCTCCTTTTCTTTTCTTGCAACTTCTTTCACTGGCTTCTAAGTCCGTGGCGTTGTCCCTGACTGATCACAGTGCTGTTAACTTCCTGTCATAAACCTTAAAGCAGCAAGCATATAAAACAGTAAAAATGGTAATAGTGATAACAAAGACTGTGTGGGGATGGGTGGCAAACTAAAGGAAGACTTCATATAAAACATCTGAGTAAGGTGTTGGGCCACCACATGCTGCTAGAACAGCGTCATGGAAATTGAGTCTGGACACTGAATTGGAGGGGATTATTCTGTCCTGTTTCCCTCATTTGGCTTTTAATGGGGATGATGGTGTTGCAGCCCAAATTTATCTACAAGAAGGTGTTAAAGTGGTTTAATATCTAATGACTGCGAAGGCTGAATATTATGATTCAGATTATTTTTCATTCATTAAAACATTTATTTGACCCCACATGAAAGAAATCCACCCTCACATCAGGACAGAAACCTTTCATTGGAAGCTTTTATTGATTTCTAGTGACCCTTAATTCTAAGCGGACAAACTAATGCTCACAATCTAACAGAGTCACTGGATCCCTTCACTTTGGGGTCAAGGGTTCAAACCTGTATGTATTCAAACCTCATCTGTTGGGTGATGCGTTTCTCACTTATTTTTTCGTGTGTGCATTTTTGTAGATCAGTGGTTATCATTTTTACATCACTAAGCTGTCAAATATGCATTGATCTTTGAAATGTGGGGATTATGCACTGCGAGCCTGCTATAATAACTCTGTGTATGTAATTGTCAATGAAGAGTTTTTGCTGACACAGCCTGATCACTGTTATTGACGTTCTCAGGCAGAGATTATAATGTTATGCTGTTGTGGGCAGCGCACTGAGCCTCGAGCTCACCAGCTGTTGGTAAGATTTACACCCGTTGGATCCAAGCGGACTATGGCATATTCACAGATGCTGAACTATAACATCCAGGTCAGTCACCCGAGGAAGAAACAGCCCTGTTTCCTTCCATATTGCACTAATACAAGGACATCACAGCTATCAAATATGTGGTATCAAACAATAATCTTCAGTGTCTTTCTCATTGACCAGAATTTAGATCTTACCGTACCGTACTACAACGACTAACACACCAGACACTTGAGCAGGAGACTGAAGCTCCAGTCACACATGCTTCCATAGTGAGCCCTCTTTCAGAGTCATAGCTCTCGCTATCTTAATGCAAAATCGGAAGCAACTGGCCTGCTCAGCATTTTTGTACATGCCGCAGTGCATGACTGGATCCTGATTTCTTAATTGTACTTGGCAGTACACCTGTGTGGAAGTGGGTCTGCATTTGCTTTGACAGGCTACTCATTGTTTATTTTTCTTACAGTTAGTCACCTGGTCTGTGTTTTGCAAGTATCCTTTGGTCAGGATGAACCCAATGCTGCTAAATTTGAAGGGTTTTTGGTTTGTTTGTTTATGAGGCTGTGTAAGTTTGACTATTTCCTGGTGACTCTTCCACGTCAGTAAATGTGTCAGGCAGGATCCTGACATCCTCCTCGTTTAATTTGCATGTGGATGACTTGCCTGGGCAGTTTAAATCTTGCAAAACGGGTTGTGTTCATGTATGTGATGATTCAGTTATATTTTCTGCTTGTAACATGTCCTTCCCACTAAAGAAGGTGAAAGTCCTTTTTCTAATTTTGCTTTGATAGAAAGGCATGCCCAGAGAATTTAACATGAAATATATGTAATGTAGTATATAATGCAAATGTGTTTGATTAAAGCCAAAGTGCATCTGTTTAGTACTCTAAACTGCTCACCTCTGTTTAGAATGAAAAATAGATTAATGCAAAACAGCATCAGCAGAGTTGCATTTGTGAGGATTGTGCACAACTCTGTATAGATTAGATTACTCTATATGATCAGAATCATGGATGTTTCCACATGCAAAACAGAGATAAGAACCCCACAGAACTGATATATGTGCAGATTCATAAGCTAAAGCACGGCATCGCTGATCAACCCGCAAGTCTTACCAAAAGCTCTGGTGCAGGAGTCGATCTGTGCATTGTGAAAAATATGATCTGCCAAATTAAATTAACATGGATTCATTTTACTGTTTTGATCCTGGATAAAGGAAAGTGCCACACCTTCCTTCACAGCACTGTTAAAATGCTGTGTTTTTAAGGTTTTACTGTGGACACGGGCTCACACAAAGCGTTGCCTCTGTGAGCGTAAATGACCAGAGACGATGAAGATTTACTGAAGTGAAAGCCTCTACTGTCGACACGGGGGGTGAAAATTAAAACCAGCCTTACTGCTCCAACTTGTTTGAATGTAGAGTCGTGAGTTTTTATTGGTTTTCGTTGGTTTCTCTGGCTTTTACCACGTAGAGTATATTAGTGCTTATGTTGAACATCCTCAGTATGGATGTTTACCGTCTCTCAGCATCGTATCATTTAATATGGTACTTGTGTATATTTAATGTTCGGATATTTTTAATAATTGTTACCTAGTGCCCATGAAAGGCTTTAGCAGTTAGGTTAGCTCTAATTCTTAGAAGTTATTTGTACATTTGTAAATTTATATTATTCAGTGATTTCTCACAGCATTATTTTTAATACTGGCCTTCGGTTTTCTATTCAAACTCTGACAGGAAACCCGTCTAATTGAGTGGGCCGAGTAGTGAGTTACTGCTCAAGACGGGGGAGGAAGCATATCAGTAAACTGAAGAGCAACTGATATCTTCACTAATTTGTGCTTTATGATGCAGCAGACCATCTAAGGGAACCCCAGATTCTATGAACGCTTGACAATTTCTCAGTCTCGCACCATGCTGAGTTTTCCACGCCGCTCAGTAGAGAAGTGGAATTTATGCTGCCTGCGTCCTGGCGGTGAAGGAGCCTGATGAGATGTGACTTTTCACTGTGGCTTCACTTCTCTCCCTGCTGAGGTATTTCACAGTGGCCCTGCAGTGGCAGCCTGAGCAGATATAATTAGGGAAGGTGCAGTCGATAAAAGGGAGCGTGTTGGATATTGACCAGCGATGTCTGTAAGGCTCTGGGCATCGAGAGCTATATGTGAGTGTGGATGCTGATGCATCCGTTCTTGTAGTGTCAGTGCCTAGTTGCCTACACTTCACTGAATGAGCTACGCATTAAAAAAATATGACTGAATGTTCTTCTCTCACTTGGTGTCTGTTCTTTGGAAGCTAAACCCCACAGCTCTGAAGACATTAGCCCATCTCAGATTGCTTCAGCTACAGGGAAGAAAAACTCAGTCAATTAGGAGCGTGTGACCGAAGCAAATGGCACATTAGTGAATTAGGGCTGCGGTTTGAGCAGGAAATCGGCCCAGCTCGCCCCTGCTGTGCAGCAGCACTTTGGAGCCACTGACTCACTGCATCCCACTGATGCTTATCTGATCCACTGGATTCTGAATCAGCACGGATCAGACCTCAATAAGGACCCCATTAATATATTATTGAGGGCAGGGGTGTGGGGGTGGGTGACAGTTGGTTGAATTAGGTTTAAAAAGGAAATGCATGAAACTTTATTCACAGAGTTGGATAAGATTTTTGGCCATTAACCCATTACAGCTGAGATCAGCTCAGATTCAACCACTGTCCAATTTCTCACATGAGCTTTCCTTGTTAAAAAGTGACGTCTGCCGAGAGTTTCCTCCTGCTCCTTGGATTTGTTGTGGGGCGGTGTTGTTAGAAAAAAAGACTGAAAGCATAACCCAGCGGCTTGACTCGTTCTCCTGTTTTCTTCTTTGTCAGAGTGCAGCAGCAGCTCCCAGCCCCGTGATGGGAGGGATGCCCCCTGGTGATGGCATGCCAGGGGGCCCAATGCCACCTGCCTTTTTCCAGGTCAGTCCATAAACTACGCTCGTATTGTCTGCAACTGTTGGGAATGTCCCTCGACTTTAGCCCCTCTTTTTGATATATCAGCTGATATATCATGTCAACTATTGTTTCATATAAAAATCTAAAATATTATTTTCCTGTGGGGGTCGGAGGGATTATTTTGATGCTTGTAGAGCTTTTCATGTGTTGTGAAGATGTAGGTCTCACACTGCCGCTTTTCCCTTTGTTGTGCTCCGTGTACTCGGCGAGCTAGTAGCAAACATCACAGCGGTGCTGTCTGTCTGGACCCCTCTTGTGCTGTAAACAGGAAGGTGTGGCCAGGCCATTTTCTGCTAATGGAGAAATCGAAAGGTGCAGCACCTTCTGTAAATCAATATCTCATGAAGATAAACTTATCACAGGCAGCTGTGTGGAACCGACTCGTTACGGGTGACATGAAGTTGTAAACCTCTGTCTCTACTAGACCAAACTATTCACAACACATCCAGCAATTTATTATAAAGCAGAAGCCACAAAGCTGCGAGTGATTATGTGATCGCGTTATTCTCAGAATAGAAATTTTGAGGTTTATCCATCAGTGCATGCATACACTCATACTTTCCCTACCAGGAGCAATTTGAGGAGGCTCAATTAGACCCCTCTCTCTGTCAGTTCAGCAACATTAGTGACACAGTGCCGGTGTTTAGTGTTTTTATAAAGCTAATTGCATAGAGCTTAATTGATGCTGTTAATTCAGGAAAATTAGCAGTGATAACATGCTGCATGTAGCACGCTTCTTAATGTCTTGACTGACAGGCAAAAGAGCGTACATCCTCTCCATCTTTCTCTTTCTGTCACTCAAGGCTGTCATTTGCTTGTTCTTCTCTGCTCAGTCTCACACTCTTACTGTTTGGTACATGAACAAGAGTTTTATATTTTGTACGTTTTTAATTTTTTTTGCACCACACTTTGGTTCTTGCACTCCGACTGTCCTCTGCCCTGCAGTAACCCTGCTTCTCTGTCTGTCCCTCTTTTGTCACTTTGGTTTCTCGCTCCCTCTTTCTCTCTCGTCTCATCCTCCCCACTGTCCCTCCTGTATCGTCCTCTTTGCCTCTTCGTTTTATGTGATGCCACAGGGTCCTCCTGGTCCCCAGGGCTCTCCTCACCCTCAGCCTCCTCCCCCTAACAGTATGATGGGACCTCACAGTCAGGTAACGCTGCCTTTCTCTCTCATTCTCTCTTTCTTTTTCACCGGTTTTGCTATGTGCAGTCATGTGGCAAGGCTGGTTCTCAGTGCTGATGCTTCATGCTTTGGCATTTGTTTCAGCTTAAAGCTTTATGCTGCTTTCAGTATTCACACAACATGAAACCTAGAAATGGGTGTACATTTTAAGAGACGTTTGTCAAATCTTTATTTAAATGTATGTTTGTGTTGTAGTCTTTCATGTCGCCTCGGTTTGCTGGAGGCCCAAGAGGTCCACCCATCCGGATGGCCAGCCAGGTAGGGATCCTGCACACCCACCCACCACAGAATCGTGTGAATTTCAAACTGCAATTTTCATATTCAAGTTTTTTCTACTAGCCACCCGGCGGAGGACCAGGTCCTCATCCCATGCTGCCCAACATGGACCCCACACGGCCACAAGGTGTGTGTCATTTCACTTTAATGACATGCATCTGCACATCATGCATTAGTGTGGAATTATTTTCATTTATAATTATTATTATTTTATATCTTGAATGCCTTTACTCTTCAGGTCATCCTAACTTGGGGCCAATGCAGAGAATGAGTGGCCCTCGAGGAATGGGACCTATGGGGCCTGGCCCTCAGGTAGGCTGCTTACTTATACAGAATCAATCATCACTGCCTTGATGAATCTGTGGTTTTTACCCTATTAGTTCTTGTGATAGGAAGGTATTCGTTTTGCCAACCAAATCCAAACCAAAAGCATTTTGACAGTGTTAACAGATGTGTCCGTAGTAGGTTTGCAAGAGTTTTTATTTTTACCCTGTGGTTTCAGATTTGAAGCTGATTTTTGTTTGTTTTCTCAGAACTTTGGTGGTGGGATGAGGCCTCCACACAACACCATGGGTCCTGGCATGCCAGGAGTGAACATGTGAGCCTCCTGTTTATTTCTAAGTATTGTCTGAAATGTATTTTAAATCAAGTGCAACATTTTACCAAGATTTCCATTTGCGTTCTTATGTAGGGGCCCAGGAACGGGTCGGCCATGGCCCAATCCCAACAATGCCAACTCTGTGAGTAGAAATGCAGGCACACAAATTCACACATAAGCCCAGAGAAATGCTCATTCTTTGCAACCAGATCTCCTCTCTGAGCTGCAGAGGTCTGCAAGGTTCTACTGTGGGGTGGGATGTAATTGTAGTATTATGTATCATGGTTTCCACAGACAGTTGGACAGACAGCCATAATGGTATTAGGATCAAATGATGAATGATGACAGTTTGGGGTACGGAAAGGGTTTGTGCTCCCATTTCTGGTCTGTAATGTTTATGTCTTTGGTTTCAGATGCCTTACTCATCACCTTCTCCTGGTGCATACGGGGTGAGAACACATCCTGATGTCTTAACCCTCACACACTACAGATATTACAGCATAGAAGGATAACATTTAATGCATTTTTTATTTTGTTTCATTCTCCAAAGGGGGCATCTGGAGGTGGAGGGCCTCCTGGCACTCCCATCATGCCCAGCCCCGCAGGTTAGTGCTTCTTTGACTTAAGCTGCTAAACTTGAGCCTTTTCTTGTGCTATCCACGACTGTACGTTTACACTTTTCCCCGTCAGACTCAAACAACTCTGGTGACAATTTATACACCATGATCAACACTGGACCTGGCAACCGGAATAATGTGAGTTCTGTTTTATTTCTTTGACCGAACTGCTGATTTCATCAGAAGTAATAATATATTTAGCATAATGTTACAGACAAAACACATAACAGTGGTCCCTCGCTGTAACGCGGTTTCACGGCCTCGCTGTTTCGCTGATTTGATTTTTTTTATTTTATTTTATTTTTTTTGTGCAATTTTGCGTGGTTTTTTTTCTTTCTTTTTTTTTTTTTGACCATTGTCAACCAATCTCGTGCCGCGTCTCCTGTACAGTACAGAATGCGTTCACTTGTCGACTTCACATAAATCTTCGATTGCTAGCAGTGCGACTGTGAAGTGCTGCGCTGTATGTTTGTGCGTTTTCTCCCCAACAAACACAACAATGTTGAGGAAACGTTTTGCCCTGTCAAAGGCAACCGTGGGTGCCTTTGACTGCCGCGATAAACGAGGGACCGCTGTACTGAAAATTTATCTCTTTTCATTACACAAATAAATTCTTTACGTTATTCTCGTGTCAACCGTGTGATAAAGGTACGAACCTGTTGTAACTGTACACCATCAAACTGCCTTTGTGGCTGTGTGAGTGCAGGTGGAAAGACCTGTAGACACATAAACCTGAGCTTTGTTATTATAATTATTTATTTTCTGGTTAGTTTTTAATTTTGTAAGTTTTTACAGCAAAGTTACAACAAAGTTTTTACTAGTTTTGCTACAGTAATGTTGTCCTGTGTGTGGTGCTGGTAAACTGATATACTTAATCTCATTGGGAAAAGTAGAAAATGTGGTGGTAGATGTAGTTCTGTTGCTAGGCGATTGCTAAACATGTATAGTTTTTTTTTAATTTTTTTTTATCCATGCTTTTTTTTGGGGGGGGGATTAGATGTTATTGTTAAATACAAACTGATATGATGTTTTTACAAGGCATTATAGATGCATAAATGCTAAAATGGGCGCTTTTTAGCACGTTACTAGGTAGTTGTGAGGAAACACAAAGACGTCACGATATCTGATATAGATGAGACCCTTCAAGGGGCCTAAGATGTTGGATTGCTCAACCCCTGGTGGTCTGAGAGGAGTTTGAGGACAAAGAAACAAGCGCACACACAGCCAGAGGTTTGTGTATTATAGTCAGATAAGGTGGGTGTTTTCCATGGGAAATTTTAAAGAGAAATTAAGGATAAGGCAGCACAACGACAAATATGCAACACTATATGAAGGCACTTAAATCATAGCCATGTAGAAACCACCGGAACTCTCAATAAACACGCTCCAAAGAGTCATTAGGAAGGTTGTGTTAATACATTTTCCCAATTAGTTACAAAGAAAGCTACAATGTTTCATTAATTTAGTTAAAGTTAACTATAATGACTTTGCTTCATGCTGCTGATGAAGGGAGTAAAACTACCACAGAAGACACCAGAAGTATCTTTTTACAGCCTCAGATTGACTCATTGAATGTGTGGGTTTGTGTGGGAAATGCCACTTCCTATTGCATGACATCACGCTTAACGTAAAACACTAGTAATTCTGGTCTTTCTAGAGCACGCTGTCACTGTTTACCAAAGAATACACAGCAGAGACGCAAAGCACTTGTTATACTGTGATATGTGATATTGGAGGCTACTGTTTCACCTACACTCGTGGTAATGAAAGAATCAGACAAAGACTTCAAGCAGAACGTGAGGCTGATCTTATAATGGCATAAATAAATAAATGCACTGTTATAATCTTTAGTAATTGGGTTTCAGGCAGCTTGCACTTTTATTCACTTTACTTTAAGTTTGGTAGTTTCAATTTTGGTAGTTAACTAATCGTACGGCAACTCCGCTACGGAGCTGTGATAAGTGTTCATGCCACTACCCCCCCTCCTTCCCCTAGTTCCCTATGGGCCCAGGCTCTGATGGACCCCTGGGAGCCATGGCTGGGATGGAACCACACCACATGAATGGATCACTAGGTAACACTACTCACCACAGTGCATTAAACCAGCACAGCAGTGAAGTGTTTGGATTGCATCCCCACCTGTTAAAGACAGCACATGTATTTATCTGCACTCACTGTATAAAATGGGCTCATGAACATTGTTTTAATTATTTCACACATGGTTTAATTTTCAGGTTCTGGTGATATGGATGGAATGAACAAGGTAAAAAAAACAACCCCAATGCAGCCATGTTGCTTATCTTTTCAACCCAGATAAACTAAACTGGTAACTTCGTCCTCTTCGTTACTAGAATTCCCCAAACAATTTAAGTGGCATTAGCAATCCTCCCGGGACCCCGAGGGATGACGGGGAGCTGAGTGGAAACTTCCTCCACTCCTTTCAGAGCGAGAACGTAAGTTGTCAGAGTGTTTGTAGCTGTAGCTCCACCGTGATGAAGCCGGAGACACAAGCTAGGACATAAAGCAAGGTGTAAACTATAGTAACACATGGATGTGTTTTAAAGCTTCCTTTTCTTGCGTGTGTGTTTCCATAGTACTCTCCAACCATGACGATGAGTGTGTGACCCCCTCCCCCTCTTCACCCGACCCGATTTGCCATCATTCCGAGGATCTGAAGTCACTGTAGGACATGGCCAAACACATCAGCACCAAATCAGGGACAGGCGCCATTTTGGTTCCACACTAACGCCAGAATGCTGATTGGGGGACAAAAACAAAACAAAAAAAATCTAAATGGCTGGCAAACTACTGCTCCTTGCTCAAAATGAAGGACAATTACACCATTTATCACAACCCCTGTGTGAGAAACCAGCTACTGAAATGCATAAATGACACGTTTTATGTTCTTTGCAGAACCTCCTGACCCCGCTCAGTCCTCTCAGCCTCTTTAATCCTAGTGCGAAGAGAAAAAGGTTGGAAGTTTACCTCTTGTACTTTTTAATGATTGCTTTGTGGTGCAAGATGTGCAGGAAATATCTGCTTTTGTCACTTAAAACACTGGAGAGTTTGCATACGCATTGTGAGCTTGGAAAGTCTCTGTCTTGTCATTTTACTTATCGCCATGCATACGGTGTCACAGAAATGGGTTGACACAGGACTGAGGATTTGTCTTTTACTCTGTGGCCACCTTTCTGAATAATGTATTACTCTGCCCAATGCCCACCTTTCTATTTAAAGAGACTTAAAAATGGAAACGATGTGAAAGAATATGGCTTTTATTGTGACAGCCTTTTGCAGCGGTGTTGTTACAGTGTCACATTGATCCAGATTGATCAGTCTCTCAAGCCCTTTTCAGACATGGGATTTTTAATATTGCCGCCTTCATCAGTCCCTCAAAGCGATGGCATTCTGTTAGGCTTTGGTCACTTTTACATCAGTGTTCCTCGCAGCTTTATTCAGACGTAACCATGACAGCTGCAAAGAGAGCCACGGTATGTGAGATATTCACCATATGTGCAAAAGAATTGTCGCATTCGTGGCAGTGAGCATTAGGCATCTAGTGAAGTGTAGCCACACTGTTGAACGTTTAACTCGATGTGACATTTTTACCAAGATCAGGGTCTGTGTGAGTGAGTGAGTGTGTGTGTGTGTGTGCATGTGCGCGAGTGTGTGCGTTCTGCCACAGCTGCCCCTGCCCTTTGAACACAGACTCTCTCTTCTGCATGGGGAATATGCACTGCATTAGAGAGCGACGTTTTCACCTTACTGAAAATGAAAAATAGCTTCCGATGACATAAAACGTCACGTCATATTTTATTGCTGTTTGGGGCAATCTCTACATCAAAGATGGACGAGAGATATGGGCAGTCATAATCCTGTGCATCGGTTAATGCATTCAGACATGTGCCAAGTTGAAAGTGCTAGGTTCGGACCTAGTTCGAGATTTCCGTCGCAATCTTTGCAGAAAAGTGACCGGGGCGCCCGTTCGGGTGCGAAGCCGACGCGTTCGCGGGTGCTGTCAGATTAATGGAAAAGGACTGCATGTCTGAAAGGGGCTTTGTTGTTGACAGTTTGCTACTCTGCCACTCTTGGCTGTTTAAACAGCTGGACTGCTGCCGCGTGCTGTCAAGGGAAGCCAGATTTTGGCATAAAAAGTGAGTGCATGAGTGCTGAGAATCTGTGTACAACATACTACCTAGTGCTGCTCTTCTCTATGTGGACACCTGCTTTAAGATGTGGTGTATATCTCTTTACCTGCCTGTGCTTAACACTCTGTGCGCTTCATCGTCGTAGCCTTCTGTGTTACTTCCAATTTGGTTGATGGATATATGGATGAGTTGCCCATTTTAATCTCTCACACATACTGGTTAACACTTCCTTCCTGTATCACTGGTCGTCCCTTTGGTCCTGCCCGTCTCTTGCCCATCCGCATATTTTTTTATATTTTGATACAAACTTTGACTACATATATTGCCCCAGTTATTCAGTTAGTCAAAGCTTTCTAAACTGATTCTAGTAGGCATCATTATAAACTTAGCCGCAGTCTTGTAAATGTGATGAGAATTTTTGTTTCATTTTTTTCCCTGTGAACATTATGCATTATACACATCTGTCCTATGTTGCCTTTATTTGCTGATATTTTTTTATTTCAAATTGAGGAAAGATTGCTTGTTAATATAATTTTACAATAACTTATCTCACCGTGTGGGCTGTTTTTGTTTTCACCGTACATTAATATTAGAGTAACTCAGGTTTGAAGATACTGCTGAAGCTGTGGACAAATAAACGCTTACATTAGAAAATGAGTTATCCACAAAAAGTGTTGAACTGTAAGTGCTGTTACCACTTGTGTACCTTCTATTTATCAAAAATGCCAAGATTACTAGCACAGATTAACGTCCTGTGTCTTTAAAATGGAGTTGTCATCACATCTTGCTTGTAGTCAGTGCACAGACCAGTGGTGGCTTCGCTAATCGGTGCTTTCACTAAAGCTAGAGGGTGCTGTAGTCAACAGGTACCAGAACAACAAGAGGAAGTCCAGAGGGAGCCTTTGACTCAAAGGAAACTGCAGCTCTGGCTCAACGGCTGTGCATGAAAGATGAGGGACAAATCGTTTCAGCTGTTGACATCAGTGGGTTTGGGACAGTCACCAGCTCAGTTCTGTTACAGTTTGTTCCATGTAGCAGAAATAACAGTTTAAAAGGTGCATGTAGGAAATATTTTACATTTTCTTTGAACTGTGTAACTGTGGTTCGCAGTGGGGATTGCCGTCAGTCTACACTGTATGACAAAAAATCTTTACTCTGCATGTTTATCCTTTGGATTAATTCGTGACTGTCAGTAGAGTAAGAGTAAATTTAAGCTGCAAACAGCCACCTTCACGCCATTTACCACCATATAACAATTTACCTTCAACAGTTTTCAACCCACAACTTACCCTTTGCTGGGAGATCGTCAAGCTTCGTTTCACGGCGTAATGGTGAGTGGCTCCAAAGGGTCTTTATAGTTTCGTTTTAGACGTCTGTGTTTATTTTAGCCGGGATCTATTTATTGCCACCTGCTGGAGGAGGCAGTCGGAGCCACTGAAAGCTCCGGGAGTTGCCAAGCACAGCTTTCCCCTAAACTCTGAGGACAAGCACACTTTGCTTTTGACATCAAACTGCTGTTACAATCACATGGTGACTCATTTTTGTTGCACTTCCATCTTGTAAATGATTTTACTTGCAGCTTAAGAATTTTAAGACAAGTAAAGGCCAGAAGAGCAGCACTTGGAATCTACAAACGCTTGATGAAACGTTTTTATTCTATTAAATGTCCTTCACTTTCCTTGAATGATGCATCTGTTATCTTAATATAAGACTCACTTGAGCATGGTCGGTTTTTCCCCTCCATGTCTTTATGTTGCCCTCTAGTGGGCTTCAATACACACAATGCTTTGCAAATGCCCATGGCTTTGACACACATACTGCACATCCATAGTTTGGTTAAACTTTATGATTCAGACCTGAATCCTGACAAAAGTTCATCGTTGGGAGGATCCTACAGTGTTGTGGTTCCTGTCTAACAATGGGAAATGAGGCTAAGCTGCTGCTGGCTAGCCTCCACAGGATGTGGCCTGACTGGGCAGCAGCCAAACCTACCCTCCAACTTCAGTCACACAAGAAATGTTATGAAAGCTGTAGCCTTTGTTCAAAACATATCTGTGTCATATACTTGTAAAAACAGGATTTAAAAAAAATGAATAACTAAAACCTTATTTCATTTCAGTTTTGCTTTTATTATTGCCACAAGTCTCACATTAGCACTAGTGTTTATGAGACAACACAAAGTATTCTGGCAACTAAAAGAAGTCAAACTACAAATTATTAATGCTTGGATCGAAATTAAAATCAGATTCTTTTCTCCAATACAAAATTTTATCAAAATACTTGAAAGCTATCTTGTGCCCTTTCACCAACTACACCAAGATAAGAACCCTCATTAGATTAAATTATGTAACATGGACACTGGGTGCCAAAATCATCTGATGTGCAGATAACACAGTTAGATATTAAGGAATCTGAACTTTACAATCCACACACAGTGCAGAAGGTTTATCATTTCCAGACAAGACAGCAAACAACAGGCAGATTCTCATGTGGGAGAAATCTGCTCTTTGTTGGTATTAAAACTCTGAAAGCATTTTTTTGTAATAATGGAGAATTCGAGCTTTGCAACAATCATATTCTCTTTTAATGGGTCAAGCGTGAGTCACAGTGACAAACACAAAGTGGCTAGCATACGGTGCTGCTGCATGTCTGTTTTTATGACTTTGACAAAGTGAGTACTCTTATGTTGAGGTGCTACCGGATGACTTCACATCCAAGAATATTCAAATCAATAAGTGTCCAATAATAAATTAACCTACGTAGTTCAAAGACTTCCAGCTAGAAGAGGTTTTGACTGGCATTGTCATGTAAATAGTAGCCAGCTGTTGAAACTGTGGAGAATTCATAAGTGTGCACTTGATAACTGACACTGAAAATGGGAAAACTTTCAGTGCCTTAAATCTTCAGGGAGTTTAACTGAAGAAGCCAGGCAACATAAGCAAAACACATATGGAAACAAACTACATCTGCTGTGTAGTCTGTGATACAACGAACATGACATGACTGAGGTTGGCCGTCTCCCTGCGTTTCAATGCATCTGGCTCCAGAGACCAGAGGTTTAATCTGTAGCCGTCACTAAGAAACACAGAGAGGGGGTTGCAAGCTCAGAGGCTGACATGTCGTTTAAGACTACAGAAAGGTTACACACCATTTCTACACCTTTTGTGATTAATGTGAACGACTGACAGTAGGACTACATGCTGATGTAGTGGAATTACAGTTACAATGCAGACAAACCTGCGCCATAATAAACCCACCACGCAACCAAAAAGAGAATATGGACAAAAAACACATGCACGCTCACACAAATTACATCTCCTGTATGCGCCGTTTTATCACAACCGCTGAGTGGACTGTCTCCCTGTGTTTGAATGCATCTGGCTCCAGAGTCCAAAGTTTAATCTGCAGCCGTCATTAATTAACACTGAGAGGAGAGTTCAAGCTCAGAGGCTGATATCTTTTTTTAAGACAACATGAGAGCCTGATTGTAAAACCCCCCACCTATATAAGTAATGTATACTGGTTAGAATGTAGATAAAACCCACCCCTTAATAAGAAGAAACCTTTATTCATATAAGCGCAGAGTTTCTTATTTTATCTTCTCCAAGAAGGATCGCACCTCCGCTGGGTTGTAGCCCCAAGGCCCTTTCCCTCCCTGAGGAACATAGTAACAAATGTTAAAAGCATAATTAATTACACTTTATTATAAAGATACTAATTTAATTCAAACGAGAGGACCAGAAACAGGTTTTTGTCATCTAAACTACATATCTGGTCCGGCTGCCATGAGCCTGGTTCAGTGCCAAAAATGTGCCCTTGTTATGCTTCTTCAACTCCTGCACCACACGCGATAGCGTGTGTTGAGATAGTGCAGATTGCACTCACGCCCATAATGCTGGTATGACTTCAAATTGCGTGAGAGAAGCAGTGAGTGGAAAGTGAAAGAATTTGGCCTTGTTGCTCTCTAAATACAACTCATCAATTAGCAGCTCAGAAAGAAACTATTCAAGAAATTGCCCGTTTTTGCACCTGTCTTACCTTGTAGAGCACTTTCCCAGCCTGCAGAATGTAAAGCCTCTCAGGCAGAGCTCCGTATTTTATGGTGGTGACGTCAGTCATTTCATCCACAACCACAGGACACAGGGGTTCACTCTGAACCAGGACCTGTGCCGCAGACAGCCTGTCCTCCAGGCTCTGGTGCTGGTTGATGTCATAGTTGTTCTTAAAGGCCCAACCATCTGCAAGTGACACCAAAAGTGCGTTTTCACATGATTGCACCAGAACAATATAAACAGAAAGCATATAAGTAGTTTGTGTGTTCATAGAGATAATGAATGCTATAACTGGATTACAAACGTCCAATAGCCAATCACAGATCTGCATCTCCTGGGTTTAGTTTCAAGCTAAACATTCATCAGCATTATTCAGATCTTAAAGAAACAAAAAACCTTCACTTTCTTGCTTGGTGATATTTTGGCCACATGTCTCCACCCACAAATTTCAGGTTCTGCAAACAACTTGTACTCACCTGTCGAATGAGCCTCTGCGATGTAGATCACAAGAAAGTCGGCTACATCGCTGAAGTCCTTGACGAGTTGCTTGAACTCATCAAGTTTGTACATAAACGGGGGTCAGGTGCAACTTCCAAAACTCAGCACAAGCGCTCTGTTGCCTGCAGAGAAACGGCAATGTTGGCGCAAAGAAGCATTGCATAACAGCAGATGAGCCTGGGTTTCTTTAACGCACCTTTTAAATACTTGGAGATGCTGGTTTTCTCGCGGTCCATAGTGACCACAGGTGAGTCTGGAGCTTCTCCTCCCACAAACGCCTCTTCTCCGAGAGACAGCCACATGTGAAAAGAAGCGGTTTTAATAAATGCCAAGGACATAAATGTCAGACCCCAATCCTCATAGTTAAACCTGGGATTCTGGGTCATGGTGATCTTTTCACCCATGCGAAGTATGAACTTCTTCGCAAGGCTTGGTGAGAAAAACTGCAATATCGCCAGCATGAGAAACAGTCCCAACATGTAGCAAAACATGCATGCTGTCGACAAATAAAGCAGAATTTTTTGCAGAAACATGGCAGCAGCTTGCCGGTGGTATGTCCCGTGTTTCAAGGCGTCTCCAGCGGAACTCTTTGGATCGCTCGTTTAAAATTGTTGGTCAGGCTCCCTCCCACTCTGCTGCCTTCACGGTCTTTCGTGTAAGAGCGTTCATTTTACCAACAGAAACAAAAACTTCCATTTACACGACGGTAACAGTTGTTATTCTGCGCTTTAATACGCTTTCTGTTGATTACATATTAATACCCGCGTTTTCATCTTGCTAAACATCCCATAGCGTAGTTGGGAGCTAATTTTCTTCAATATTTCCCACCGTGAAGAAACATCAAATCAAAGCCAAATCAAAAAAGGCTGGTAGCTCTCGTTTATACAAACAAGTAGAAGATATAAATGAGTACGACTGTCTTAAAATCAGCCGATGTCCTGTTTTATGTCCTGCTAGTAAGTGGTTGCTTGGCAACATGACCGTAGGCGCGTAAGAGGAGTTCACGGACAAACTGATATTTGGTTATTATAATAAGATTAACTTTAATTATAATTGTAGGTCATCGAGACATAAAATCAACATTTCATTTCATAATACAAAAGTTTGCTCCAAAACGATGCTTTGAAAAGTTTCTGTCCGGTAGCAGGAAACACTGATGATTTTTTTCAGCTCAATGTTTAATTTATCGCTAATGACGTCTAGTAATCGCCTCACATACCTGTATTTTCCAAAGCACCAGTTAGCTTTAGCACCGGGTACCCTACTGATTTGTGGGAGAAGGATAAAGGAGAAAACAACCGCTCCGTGAACATTGCTAACGAGTATGAGGTTGTTTTTCCACAGGGCTCAGTGGTAGTTATTGGCGGTTTGCTCGACCACTGTTTAGCTACATGGGTGTTAAAGGGCAACAGGTGTCGCCGTCTTCTTTTCAGGCCACATAAATGTAAGTTTGACTTAGCTTTGCCTGCTTTCAGTTTATTTAAACACTGGTTTGTTAGCAAGCGTGTTAGCCAAGTGCAGTTCAGCTTTGTAGCTCCCACGTGTGAGTGTATTGTAGTGCTGCAGGTAATTTAACATCACAGGGGAAATTGTTCACAGTGGGATACAAGTGTGTAACCTCTTTTATGGTTACTTCTTTGGTAAAGGCCATAAGGCCTTTCAAGTGATGGCTTTTCTGTGGTGACTGTCAAAAAAGGGAAGAAAAATAGATATAAATAAATATATTTTTCCAGATTAAGTAAACTGGACTTGCCTTTTTCAATACGATGTCAAATCATAGGTTCATGCATACGTGGACTTTAAAAACCTGAAATTACTCATAAGATTTTTTTTCCCATAATTAGCTAAGGGGATGTAGTAATATTGTGATTGGAGCAGCATGTAACATTTCATTGCAATTATTTTGTGTTTCTTGAAGCACAGACAATCTGAAGAAGTCGTTAGATTATGCATCTGACTTACTTTACGTCAAAAGCATATAGCTCAAAAATAAAACTTATGAAATTTGTCCAGTAAGTTTTTTCCTAAGATTGAAATGATGACCAAACGTCATGCAACTAATGGGCATTTTCAAACTCGTGTCTACTTTTGAATTGTTTAAGAGAGTTTAAACTATCTGCTGCACTATTACCTCAATAATAAAATGAGCTCATTAAATTTGGTTTTCATTAATTCCTGAGTGTGTTTGGTTTGTTTTAAAAAAAAAAAATTAAATGTTTAGTTTTGGTTAGGTCTCCTAGTTTCAGCATTAAATTATTTATTTATTTTAATGTTATACCAACACTTTGTGATGACCTGTCATGTCGACATCCTTGTCTTAGTTATAGCATACACATACACCAAATCTCTTCCTGTATATTAATTTTATATATTATAAAATATGATTATATTTGTGAGTACAACATAATCCAACCTTTTCAGTCAGTTAAGTTATAAACCTAATGAATAATTAATTCTCCTGGAAAAACAGCCATAGTTTTTAGATGAAGTCTAAACCCTTTAGCCATCTCTAATGGGCATGAGTATTATGTAATGGGGGTTTTTCCCCTCTTTCCTTCAGAATAAAATCTATTCCCTTTTTCTGTGGACCTTTTGTACAGCAACATAATCCTAAAACAGAGAGCATTACTTGTTGACATTATAACCCTTAAGATTTGTAAGTAGCTTACAAAAAAGCTTCCTGGTTTGACCTGTATTTTTATATTTGTTCTTTTCTTGCTGCCAAGACATTTAATGCCAAGGCCACAGGTGAAGGAATAAGACTAAGTATATCTAAAACTGTCTAATATGCAATAAAAATACACCTAAACACGTGAATTTCATGCAAATTCCAATTGAAACTATATTAAGATCTGCTTGTCCTTTAAAGATGTGGTAGCGCTAGTGATAAGCATATATTAACTTTCACAGTGCACTTTTTTCAGCTTTCCTTCATGGCATTTGCTGCAGGAACAGTCTTGTATTATGTTTTTATTCTCGTCATATATGTTTAAAATTATACGTTGTTCTAAGAAAAGTTTGCATTATGTTGCATTAGTTACCCAGTGTCAATGGCACAGTTTTCTGTAAACAGGCCGCAGCTAAATTGTGAAAACCGGGGTTGACAACCCACAATGTAACTTTGTCATGTTAAGAGAAGAGAAGCTGTTAGGTTCAGACAAGCCAAATAATGGGGAAGATGTCCCGGGACTGTTGAACTTGTTTTACTTGTTTTCTAATTGCAGGCCACCAGAAAGATGTATAAAAGTCATCTTATCTCTGGGGTAAAAGAAAGGGAGATTTCAAAGTCAAAAAGGCGCGCTTAAGCCTAAACCTAGTTTTCAGTGGGACGAAGGAAGTGCACTTTTTACCTGGCCACATGGCAAATTCTTTCTTTGACCAGTTTCTCCATGAATGAACTCTCAGATGACAGACTACCTTTTATTTTCACAAACATGTTGAGCTTTTCTAATTATTCGCAATATTTGAATTTCATGTAATATTCACATGGTATTTATCGCAAAGTGAATTTCACTTTTATTTGGCCAAAAAAGTTACATGATGCTTTTCTTGTGAAACAGTGTCATGTCCAATGTTCCCTCTAATTTTTCACGTGTCTGAGCGAACACACAAACTCCCTGAGCGGACACTTGGACCACTGTGAGCAACAGCAGACGTGTGCACTGTGGTCACGCCAGCATCTAATCCATCCAAGTTACATGTTTATTAAAATAATCCAATTACAGCATTTACATGTATGTTAGACTACTTTTAATTAACTGCTTTAGCCCACCTACAATGAAAATTGTAAGTGGGCTAATGCACCAGTGACACACTTGGCTGCCTTCACCACCCGTATCTGATCTTTTTTTGTTTCTTCTGTGCAGCTGGTGAGCAGTAGGTCAGAATACTCTCTACTGTTGACCAGTAGAAGTTGGGCACATTGGTAAATAGTTTTTACACTGTTTTTTTTTTTTACACAGGTCAATGAGAACCCCGTAATGTAAAGTTTTTGGGTAAAATATGAAGGCTTCCTTCCAGTGTTGAAACTTCTACATTTGCAAACAAAAAAGCTGGGATGCTGTGTAAAATGTTGATTAAAACAGAATGCAACTGTTTCCATATTCTATTCACAATACACAGAAAACTGAGGAAATGTAACATTTTAAGGAAAAGTAAGGGAGGTAGTTTTGAATTTGAAAAAATAAAAATGGTCTCAAAAAAAGAGTTGTTTTTATGACTGTGTATTGTGTAACTGAAATATGCATGGTCTTTCTTAAAAAAGAAGCCATCTGGATGGGAGCATATTTTGCTCTAAAGCCTATGTAGCTTTTAGCATTGATGGTGCGTTTCCACATGTGCAAGCTACTAGCTCCATAGGCACTAATGCACCCTCATACCACAAGAGATGTAGGCTTTTGACCTGAGTCTTGATAACAAAATTTGTTAGTGAACTGTGTTGAGAAACAGCAGTTTCTAAAACTATTGCTGAACCCGTGAGGTGATTCATTCATGTTAGAAAATCTTTAGATGTTTTCTTTTACCTGCAGCCCTGGAAAGACCAAATCGTCTTGGGAGAAAGTAAAAAGTATAAAAAAAATACTTCAACCCATTAAGAAGGCTTACTTATCTTAGCCTAATCTTATAGGCTATATGGTCAACAAGTACAGGCTTAGTGCCCTCTGCTATGTTGCTGCACAAAGGTCTAAAGAAGCAGACAGCATCTCCACTTTACTTTTTGAAACAATAGTTATGCTGTGTGATGTTGATCTGTAATAAAATGGTTATTGTAAGCTGAGTATGATTTAAGCATGCAGTTAATAATTAAAATTACAGATTAGTATGCCACATACATGTGCCGTTCAATGAATCCTTGGTCTATAAAATGGGTGAAAAAAATCTTTTTAAATGATTTTTTTTAAACGTAGCATCTTCAAACTGTCCCCTCAAACTCTCTTAGAGATAAGTCTTAGAGATAAGTCTTAGAGATAAGTGCCAGGCCCTGAAGTCTGGCCGTGTTACATCCTCCAATTCATTTTCTGCCGTTTAGCCAAATAGATAAGAGGAAACAGAGGAAACGAAAACTGTCGTTTTAAGTAACACACAGGAAATTCAAAACAAACTCAAACCTTTAGTTTAGTTTAGTAAATTGGAATAACCGGATGAAGAAACAAAGGCAGCACAAGTCGCGCATTTTTACAGCCGATATTTTCCTCACACTTTACAGCAGCAAAGTGAGCGCTTACTCCCGCCGTTTATCTCCTAAGGCATTTATAAACTTTCCTTCACCTCCGTGCATTTACGCAACTGTTTAGATTTGTCTTTACTGAGCATCTTCGCTTCCATGTAAACACCGCAAGATGGCGCTGCAGAATTGCAATTTTCTTGTTAAGAGAGAGAGAGAAAACCCAGCCACTTACAGGGTGAGGCGCCCGGTCAGCGTCGCAGGAAAGAACCGTTTGATCATAAGCACTGAAATTAAATCTGTGGGTTAATTAGGCAACAGTGGTGGTTTTGATTGGTGGTTTTCTATATGAAGGTTTTGTGTTACCGCTGATATTAAACTTGTTTAGATAATTATTAAGTTTGGCCACAGAGTGGTGGCGCTTGCCTCTCAAATGACTGCCATAAATAACAGGAAAGCTTTAGAATAATTTGTGCTGTTTACATTATTTTTGAGAAATGTTTCCAATTTAAGCGCAACAATAGAGATTAAATCCCATTAATATTACTAGTTATTGAAAACTTTTTTTAAACGTAAGAACTCGTGATTTTCATGAACAATTAAAGTAACTGAAATCATTTTGGCGGCTCAAGCAAACTGACCAATTTAATTGAATTCAAAGGGATTTATTGGTATAAACAGTTCCCCTCACGTTTTTATTTTTCTTTAAATTAAGCCAAGCCTCTGTGGAAAAGCAGCATGGAAACCACAGACACAAATCCATAACCAAACGAACTACTGAGATGGAGAGTCCTGATCCGATCTGCTCAATAAAAGCCTCGGAATAGCCTTGTGCATATGAAACTATGCTTGTTCTCGTAAATGCTTACATTTCCCTCAGGAGCTGTGGGTCATTAAACGCTGAAATTCAGTGTTGTGACATAGTGTCGATCACATCATGATTAGTAACAGCGAGCTTTGAATGATACCGGGCGCATCATAAACACGCATGATGATGCAGGATATTGCACACAACTTTATGGGAGTTTATTCGAATCTTGATTCGTGCGTTACTCAGAACTGCTACATCGTCCCGATCCAGATCTTATCCCCCCACGGAAACACGGACACCGTCCTTATTGGCGCTCCTGCATACCGGTGCAGCTATTGGGTGTCAATCTCACGCAAAAAGAGGGGGGAAGAGAGAGAGAGAGAGAGAGAGAGGGGTGTGTGCACGGGATGCTGTGATGTCTGGTCGCCACTGAGAGGATGCTATCGATCAGGCGTGCAAATGCTTCCTTCTCCGCTTTGATAAGCATGGTCGTGTACGCGTTTAGACTCTTTCTGCTCCTCGTAAACAAATTGGACAAGGTAGGTGTTGCCAAATCCCTGAAGTTTCCCAATGTGACGATTTCCCCCTGGTTCATATAGACTGCGGCGATTTGTTGACCTTTTTCTTTTCACGCGCACAGGTAATGTGAGCGGGGACCGCACTGGGTCATTAATGCAAAACTCCTCAGCGCTGTTCGGGATGGTGAGCCACTGCCAGACCCCTGCTTTCACCGACTTCACTGGCTTGACGCTCTCCGTGTACGGCAGCAAGGGAGACATCTGTGCGCGACGAGCAGGGAACGGCTTTGGATCGCAGATTTGCCGGAGCCCTCATGACACCCCGACTCACATGAACTGCGCCAGCCCGAAGCGACTCTCCGCGTCCGAGGAAAAAGCGCATCTGTCAGGCAAAACTGCGCGCTTGTGCTTCTCTCTCCCACCGGTGCAAGGTAGGCTCTGTCGGCACTCCTGCTGCTGAGCATGGAGGATGTTGCAAAGTCCTTTAACTGAGTGGATTCGCCAGTTGAAGGAAATTGAAATGTTTTTCATCTCTTTATTTAAAACAAACGTTATGGCACATTCAGCCAGACAGTTTGACCAGTTAGCAGTTCTGGTTATTTGAGAGTGATTTAAAAAGCCATCATCTGAATGAATATTGCTTCCACATGGCTTCTAAAGAGCGTCCTTTGATATAGCTGCACTTTGGTGTAAAGAGCATTGTTTGCAGTTGTGCGTTAGGCCTTTTAATTAAACTCAGACCTCCTTTGGGTGCTGGCCAATTCATAAACAGTCTATCAAAGACTTCTGTGAAGGGATATAGAAAGCTGCCAAGCAAATGTGCACTTCCTATGTGTGTTAACAAGGAATAGTTGAGTTCAGTGTCACATTGGCTTATCTAACAATAGGAAAACTCTTTCTTGGACAGCTGCAACTGTCTATTTTGTCTCAATTTGAGAAAAATATTAGGGCTTTTAGTTAACTAAGTAGACATGCTTAAATTGCTAAAATATTCTTATATGAGTCCTTTGGTGCCTGTTGGTTAAAAAAAAATCAAGAAGCAGGGCTGCGAGTTTATCGGTGAAGGGAAAATCTTTAAAGCAAAAATTCCATAGATGAAAGTGGAATATAAATAGTATACAGAGTGGAAACTGTGTTTTTAGTCTGTGCTATCCTGTTTAGACAGTGTTGTTGTGAGTGGGTGGAGGTAATTACAGCCCCGTCCTAAATTCTGATTAGACTGAACAGACTTTTATATTAGCAATCACCCTTGCAGCAAGAAGAGGATCAACGGATTTGATTATTGTTTCTTGGTCCTAAACACAAACCATATGTCTGCTGAATGTCTCTCGGCATTTATGAGTTCTCTCAGAGCACAGTTGTGCCCTCAGCCCTCCATCCCCAGCATCCCGAACCAGAATGAATTGTCTCATTGTCTTTTCAGCGCTTTTGAACTCGCTTCCCGTAAATTGTGGGAATGCAAGATGTGTTATGTGTTTGTAGTTCACGTTATGCAGATTAACACTGAGGCAGACGCATTCTTTTTTTTTTTTTTGGCCTGAATGTATAAAACAATTGAGTGAAATTTTAATAAGGTCATCATTTTTATGGCAAGCAAAACTTCATCCAGCAAGAGTTTCCTTAAGCACGCACTGATTCAGCGGCATTATATTTTATTGTAGCATTCAGGAATACAAAGTTTAATTACGTTTAATGTGAACTCTAATGTTTCTAGCCTGCACAAATATGTGCTGCATTACAGGCATTTTTACAGTGTTTTATAGTCAGTCTTGGTGAGCATGGAGTATGAAAATGATCTCAGTACTCATCAGTCTTTTGTATAATGCCTCATTTCAGCCCGGTCATATTACATACTCCCATTTGGGGACAGAGCTGGAATTAAGGCTGCATTCTCAACCATTACTTTAGATTTATTCTGAAAGGGATCTCAGAACAAACAGTGCCTGTAATATTTCTCCTAATGGAAGTGAGACAGCGGAGGAAGACTTAACTCAGATAGGAGATTCCCGACCTTTTCCGTGAACCCTGTAATTGCAAAAAGTGAGGTATTACTCAGTGATAACAGCGATTCAAATGTAGGTGGTGGTGTTTCATCTAATCCTTGGAGGAAAGCTGTCACGCACCACAAGATGTTTGCATTTGGAACTGCTTTGCTGGTTTTCTAATTGCTCCCAAACTACAAAAACCATGCTCTCTGCCAGTTTTTCTTCATTGTGTTCGATTGTTTGCATAAGTGTTTACAAGTGTAAAACCACTGACTTGAATGAGAGTCGGTGAATGAGAGAGCATTCGACAATACATATATATATCTATATATATATAGATATATATATGTATATTTATAGAAACTATAGAAAAGCACCATTTTCTCTATTTTTCTTCGCACCAAGTCAAATAACACTTAAATCTGTGCATGACTTCAGACAGTGTGCTTATTTTTTCCGTCCTCTTTGTTAGTTTAACGGTGGCTAATCACTCTAACACTGCAGGTCAACTGTGCTATAAATATTAGCGCCCACCAGCAAAGAAAATATTAAGCCTGCAAGGAAACCAGCTGAATATCAGCTTGAATGAATTGTCTACTCTAGCATCATTTGATATCTTACTGAAGTTTCTCCTGGCCAGAACGATGCTGCTGAGTCTGAGCTTATTTAAGGAAATGTTTGAGTCTGAAGAGTGTGCTGGTGTCCCACACTGCTGCTCTCAGATAATGCACAGGATGTCTCTAAAGAGATGAGTAATCAACATTTGAGCTTGTATGTTTTTGTGCCACATTATCATGTGAATAGCACCGGTGTACCAGTGTAAGCACATAAACTCACCAACCTCCATGGCATCGATCTTATATATTGTAAACAGACACTGTGTGAGCCTACACTGCGTGCACACATCCGCTGATATCCTCAGACACTATTTTTATGGGGAAGTGGCTTTGGTATCAATGTGAAATTCCCTCAGACTGACTTGGTTTCCTGTGTTTTCCCCCAGACGTCAGACTGTGGGGCGATAATCTGACTGTTATGAGAAACAACCAACCATTACAGTGCTGCTTTCAGCCTCTGAAGTGTAATACACTTAATGACAGCTTCCCAGTAGCCCGTGAATAATTTCAGTTGTAAGTGCAAAGTCTTTATTGTGAGAAAAGCAGCGGTTCCAAGCAAACTGTGTGAATTGTTACCCGTGTGGTGTCAAATGTATCTGAAAAACAGAAGAAAAGCTTGTCAGAGTCGCCTTTTCTTAAAAAGTCAGACAAATCAGAGTAATTAAATGTCCCAAAATATCCTTCTCATTCATCAAAACCCAGTGTTCAGCCAAGCCTAAGAGGAAACTGGTGATTACATAAAAATATCAGTATTCCAATACTTTCTGTTGGCTAGATTCTGAGTATAGGCTTTCATCTAAATCATTAGATTTGTGTCACATCAAAATGTTTATATATCTATAATTCTGGGAGAATATTTGTTTCAGCTGTTTCAAGGGGTTTTAAATTTCTTAAACTACCTGTGACTTGAGGCTTAAAATGCCTTTAAGCGTATTTGATGTATGCCCAGACAATATGATTTATTTTGCTTGGATTTCACTGTTTCTGGGGGGAGAGTTCAGTTGTGTTATTGCTGAACTGTTTTGGTTTAATGCTGAAAGGTTAAGAAAATCGACACAAATCAGTGACTTCACATCGTGGTTTGTTAACTTGTTACCAAAAGCAGTCGATGGAGTTCATATAGTTTAGTGAAGTCGTTCATTTTTTTCTCCCCAGTATTCTAACACAAAGCTTCAGGAATGAAAAAGTGTCATAATGTCATAGTTGGTAAGGTAATTAATTAAATCTAGTCTAGACTAAAAGTCTAGAATTTAATGAAAGTTCATGTATTTTTATCTTTTAGAGGCTGTTAAGCAAGCTAGGAAAATTTGGTTTTACCCTAATCGGGTCACAAAAAAATCAAAGCAATAGTTAAAGAATACAAATCCTCATCTGGGTTAATATTCAGGTGTTGCAGTGTTTTGTATCATTTACTTTACAGAGTCATTTTTTGTTGCTTGCTTTTTAAACTTTTTGCCAAAACCACATTTTACTTTTTAAATAGTGAATCATTTTCATCTTTTTTTTCTTAAAAATATAATTTTTTTAAGAAAAGAAAGGAAAAGAAAAAAGTTCCTCTGCCGATCACTTTTCTGTTGAAAGGAGAAAAAGCTGACACGAGCACTGAAATATCAGTTTATTCAGTGCGGCTGAAGTTTGAAAGAAGGCTGTGGGTCTCAGTATCGCTGTAACTCCTTTTGCCAAAAAGTAGTGGCAGTGATGAAAAGCTTATAGGTGCTTTTTCTCGAAGATATACCGATCAACCCTCAGAAACGTTTTGCTGCTACCGCTGCTCTGTGACATTTGACCTTTTATTGAACGTCTTCTTCGCTTAATTTCTCTGCTGAGGCTAACCAGATAGTGAAAAACTACACAGCACATTTTTTGGTTATGCTTTTTTTTCAGCCAGCTGTACTTTATGTGGAATGCGTCATCGTGAACGGTCTTCTCTTTGTCCGGTTGTTCTCCTTGGAAAAAATACACACGGACCTGTTTATATATAAAAAGTAGCACAGTGATAGTAACATTCTTTTCCTGGGTTTTCTCACCGCTCGGTGCATTCCCATGAGCTAAAGAGCCTCAGCCCACGTCTTTGCATATTGCATGAGCTCAGCAGTGAGTTATGGGCAAATGTTAGGGTGCTGCCTGGGAAGGGTGTTGCAGGGTGTAATATTTGCAGCATGTTCCATTGATTCATAAAGCGAAGGCCCGGTGATGATTCTGCAACGGTATTCCCGTAAACCTCTGCCTGAGACGCTGGATGCTGGGTAATGGAATAAAAGCACTTCCTGAGTCACAGCCACTAGAGAGGGAGAACGAGAGAACACCCCTTGTGTGGCATGTGCTGGGCTGAATCACCTTAGCCCAACTCGGCCTGAGATCCACGTGGTGTGTATGGAATCAGGAGGTACGGCAAAAGGAAGAGACGAGAGTTGCATCAGCTGTGGTCGGATTCTGATTAGATTTGCTAAATGAGCTTCAAAAAAGCTAAAATGTGATGTTTGCTGTGCTTTTCCTTTTCTGTTGTAAGGTCAGATGTTCTCATTCTTATGTGACCATTGTGGTATGACTATGGCATCTCACTCTAACCAAAAGCATTCTGACTTGCATTCTGCCAAGGAATCCAAACAGTCACACAGCAAAAATATGATCTGGTTTGAGTAAGTGTCGAAATATCTCTGGAATACCAGAAGAAATTTGCCCGGGGCCTCAGCTTAATCAAGAAAAAGCTGCAACGTTGGCTCAGATATGTCATCGTAAAAGTGTATTTTTAGCACAAACCTTGCCCAAAACTTTTATGCGCTCTTGGCGGTGAGAGGAATAAGCTGCCAGGTGTCTTTGTTTTGGAGC